CTCCGTGCAGTATCTCCAGTGCCCAGCACATGCCTGAGACACAGCGGGAGCTCAACAGATATTTTTTAAATAAATAAATGAATGAATACATAAAAGGATTCTACTTACAGGCAGCAAACTGAAATGTTTATGCCTTTTCTTTCATGGATCTCTGTTATTGTTGGGAAAATAGCATTTAACTATTGATTGCTTGACTGATGAAAGAAATGTCTTGAATCTAACTCTAACATTTTGAGTTTCCTACAACTGTACTTTCTTCTCCCATGGATGAGCCTCCAGGGATCTCCTCTCTGTGTCCAATACTCCTCACTTAGAGGATTTTGGAGTACCATACCCAACTTTTCCTACTTTTGCCTAGAACAAGCCCTGAGAGTCATGGGGCCAAAGGACTTGAAGAGTAGAACTGCTGGTTTCTGAAGTGCTCAGTGGCTGACCTATGTGCAAAGTGCCACACTGCAGTGGGAGAAACATGGCAACCCAGCTCAGAACGGCTGTAGAGAGTAGAGAGTGCAAGGGGAACAAACAGAGGCCTCTTGGGAAAAAGGGGGAGCCCGTGCTTAGGCAGGTGAGCTCCTGGTTGTACAAGTATAGCAAGATGTGCCAGACACAGGCGGTTTAGAAGGAGCAAGTTCGATAACAGAGTTACATCCCAGGCTGTACCCGATGATGAAAGGAAGAGGAGCAAGTCCCATAGAATAGAATCATCTCAATCAGGGAGAGCTGCACACCCTTTTCTAAGAGAAGGAGCAAAACCAGTAGGTGCTTTAGCATGGACTTGTGAGCCCATGGTAGCAAAACACTCGCTGCTTTTGCCAACCTGAATCCTTCCTGGGTTGGTCAGTTTTGTGTTCCAGGCCAGCCTCAGGGTACCTCCTCACCAGGCACATCCTGTGAGGTTCCTTGGATTCTGGCGTGGCTTTGTTACCATTTCCAGCTTTGCCACCCCCCAGGGCATCTTATCTTCCCAGTGTCCACTCCGACCACCACTCTAATTTTTAACTCACGCCCATGTACTTGGTTTCTTAGGGGTAAGGATTTTGTGGGGAGAGAAACCATGATTTAGTTTTGATTTTTTTTTTTATCTACAGAAAAATGAGTTGGAGATGTGTGATTGGAAATGGGCATCTGGAGATTTGAATGATTCTCAGATTTAACATAAGAGTGTTTCTCTGGGTGCATCCTTGGTCTTTTTCTCTTCTCTTTCCACCTGCTCTCACCAAGCAATGTCATCTTCATTTACTCATGGTTTAAATGACCACTTATAAGCTGACAGATCCCTGCGTGTTCCCCTAAGACAGCCTTACCATGCTGTATCATAATGTTCAATGCTCAGTCCCCACCACTATAACCTATGATTCCTGAGAACAGGACTCTGTCTTCAATCAGTAAATCTTCATCTCCTAGTACACCCAATAGTACTTACATTTGATGAATGAATGCAGACTCTAATAGCAGAGGAAAGATTAAATAATTATGGTATTGCCATGACAGAACATTATACAACTATTAAAAAATCTAGTTTTTAAAAAAATATTTAGGGACATGGAAAAGGTCTAATGAAATAGAGGCAAAGTTATTAGAAATTCAATACTGTATCTATAATGTAATCGTAACTGTAAATACACACACATAAGAGCAGACAAAAAGATAAAAAAAACACCACCATCTAACCAATAATTATCTCTAGTGATAGGATTTGGTTGCTTTTGTTTTTCTTTTTTCAGACTTTCCTGTACTTCCCAAATTTTCAGTAAAAAAGTATTATTTTTATTATCATTTAAATATAAATAAATGTTCATGTTTTATGGTGTATTTTATTTCTAAATACTTGCCTTGATTGTCCTCCTTCTGTCTGCTGTTGAGAATTACCATCAATAGTGAAACAAGTCTTTTCATACCCACTGGTAAGGGACCACAGATTTTCAGACATATATTTCTAGTTCACACATTAAAGCCACACATAATTAATAAATCTGGGACATGACAATTTATACAGACCAGCAGTGACTATGCTTAAGGTACTTACAAGAGTACTTCAAAAAGTTCATGGAAAGATTCACATTATCTTTTCATTCTATTTTCCATGAACTTTTTGAAGTACCCTCACATATGGAATTTTATCCTATCTTCATTAACGTAGCCGCTCTGGTCAATTTGTAATGTTTTGTAAGAAATAAAGCACATTGGATAATAAGTGATGGAAACTCAGAGCAGTATTGAAGAAGTATAAACTTAGAGGATTAAAGATAATTTTCATTTTTAGAAAGAATTAAGTAGAAATCTTCCTTTGAAAGATATTTAAGGAGTGCATGCCATGTACACGTATACATAGGTGCATAAACACATCTAAGTTGCTCTCTCATTAAAATAAGACAATGATAGGTATGCATTGCAGTTGTGAATGGGTAAATTACTTAAACTAATATCCCTGCAGGTTAGATTTCTATTTGTCACTTCATGCTGCCCAGGAGTCCCTTTTCATCTGGGAGCTCTCACAGGTACATCTTTCAGGTCACCTTCTGTGGGCCCCATACCATTACCCCTTTCTGGAACCAAATCTCTGGCTAGCCAGAAGTAGGTGTTAAAGCTTTGGTCATATTCCTTCGTAGTTTTCTTTCTACATCCACTCAAATAGACTGATTATTACATTCGTTTCTTGTTTCATCCTGTCTGCTGCTGATAATATTAAGACTGTCTATGCTACTGTGTTTATGCCTGCTGTGTAGGCAGGGCAAGGCATTCAATAAATCACTGTATGCAGGGCACAGAGGCTCAGGTATTCTATTATTTAAATTACAAAATTATTCAGATCCCTGAACCAGCCAGCCACCAAAACCAAAACAAAAAAATAAATTACAAAATTAAATAAAAGGCATTTTTGGAAAATCCTGAAAACAAATTGTTCTAAAGTAATTTGTATGTAGCCTCCATCTTGAGACTTTTTAAAAAGTCAGTATTTCCCCAACAGAGACACATATTACACAAAAGAATTGACCACATAAGGATATCTCATTCGTATAATATAAGACTCTTTGGGTGAAAGTTACAGAAACCAACTCTAACTAGTACAAGAGAAGAGGACTCTATCATCACATGGACGACGACTGTTCTTCCCCAGTTAGGGCAGTTGGGCTTCAAGGAGGAAAGTGGGGACTGAGCACATCTGTGGCCTCTCTCAGGTTCTCATTTCTTTTTTTTTTTTTTTTCCTTTTTGTCTTTTTTTGTGACCGGCAACGGATCGCAACCCTCGGTGTCGCGCCCGTACCGGACCAGGACCAGCAACGGGATCGCAACCCCCGGTGTCGCGCCCACACCTCGCTCAGCCAGTGAGCGGGAACCGGTCTGTATGTGGGATCCGAACCCTCGGCGGGAGTGCCGCCATGCTCTCAAGCGGCACACTGTAGCAGTGCGCCACCGGGCCGGCCCCCCAGGTTCTCATTTCTGCTTCTCTTTCTGCAGATCAGCATTCTCTGTTTCTCAGATCTGTGGAATGTGGCTGCCCCATAGCTCCTGGGTTTGCACGTTACAGTTTCACCCTTTAAGCAGCCAACTTGCCTTTCCATCTCCAAGTCCAAAAATCTCTGAAAAGAATCAGATTAGTCCAGCTTGAGTCAGTTGTACATTCTTGGTCCATTCAACTGGCTACAGAGGTGGAGTCAAATAGTTGTGTCTTCTGGAAGCCCACACTGCGGACTGGAGTCAGTTCTCAGAGAAGCAACAATCATTGTGAGCAAGGGAGACACTCCAAGTCAATAGCCTTAAAAGTGTACTAGAGTAAGACGAGTGGCAGAAAGCATGAAGGGCAGCAGTTCCTAAATGTGGCCCAAGGGGACAGGGATAACTCTGACCTTTAAGGAAGTTGACACAGAGTTTTATGCTTAGGGCATATCTCTGGGGAGAGCACCCATAGCTTTCATTAATATCAAACGGGTCCCAAATCCTCCCATTAACAACCTTTAACCCTGTGTGTGTACATGCACACAGAGAACTAAGTAAACTTAGTTTTTTATAGTACATACTGTCCTATTAATATGAGCTAAACAATCTAAACCACTTAGCTATTAGATAGTGTGGGGTTAGAAAAGAAGGTCTGATTTAACAAAGTGTGATTGTTAATGAAAAACCAAAAATATAGGGATGGCCGGTGCGCTCACTGGCTGAGCACGGTGCGGCCGACACCAAGCCAAGGGTTGCGATCCCCTTACTGGTCACAAAAAAAGAAAAAAAGAAAAAAAAAAAAATTCTCAATCTGAACTTGCATAATGAACAGCCATGAACCCAGTCCTAAGTACATTATACTTCATAAGCCTTAATCATTTAAACAAGATTAAATGAGAAGAAACAAAAAAACCGCCAAAGTCAGAAAAAACATTTTTTTTCTTTTTAATTTATTATTGCAGTTTGGGAAAAATTTTGTTCTTATAGCTTTATTTAATTAAAATTTTCTATTTGTTCTTTTATTCTGTTACATATAAAATTACGTATGGAGAAAACATGTAAAAACGGGTGATAGGATTTGAGTATAAGATGAGGGTTTATAGTAAAAGCTAGGATTTTATGTAACTTTTTGGATCACCCTAAATTTAAGTACTAAATTTCTTCAATGGTTCTAAATTTCATGAAGGATGTCAGGTTTTTCTATGTTTATTATATATTTTTAGGATATATGCATTGAATTTTTCTTTTATTTTTTAATTATACAAGAAGTACCTTGTAAAAAATTCTTGCAACCTGTAAGTGAAACACACAGGTACAATCTTTCACTCCCAATCATACTCTCCTTTCCAAAGACGCTACCTTAACATTTTAGTATGTATTTTTTTCCCAAGGAGTTATATGCATTTTGAGCAAAGATCTATGACATGATTTATGAACAGTTTAAAAAATTAATCCATTATATTTTCAGACTTTAGCATAATTTTTAATTGCTCAGAAACATGTTGATGTTACTTGATTTTATTGACATCTCATTTACTTTTCTTTTTTTTTTTTTTTTTCATTTACTTTTCTGTAAGGAGATATAACTTCTCAAAAAAGTAGTCAATTCCCCAACTTCTATGTCGTTCTTCAAAAGCATCAACATTCTCAAGACAATAAATATTGCATATTGTACCTAAAACAAGAAGAAAAGGTTACAAGTTAAAACCTTATGAAGAATGACATCAGGGATTCTTCTAAAAATACTTCAAATGATTTTTATTTTATTTTATTTTTTATTTTTATTGAATCAAAATTGATTATACATATTTTGGGGGTTCAACATTGAGATATGTTGATCAAAACAATATTACTAGCATATATATTGTTACAAATTGTAATTATTCTTTATGCCCCTTGTCCAATCTCTCATCCCCCTTTCTCTCCCACTTCCCCCCCAATCACCCTAGATTTCTTCTTTTCCTCTGAAAGAATAATGGTTACTCTGTTGATTTGTTGCCTAGATGATCTGTCCAATGCTGAGAGGTGTGATCAGGTCCCCCAATACTATCATACACCAGATGTCTCTTCTGTTACTATGAAATGGGTTCTGTGGAGACAGACATCCTCCTTTCTTTATCTCTGCTGGTGACTCTCCTTGTGTCATCTCACTCCAATGGCTGGCATCTAGCCACCTTCATGGCGGCCATGGTTATTGTGGTGGCTGTGGTGGGCCACCCACATGGAGGAGATGTTTTTGGCCTGCTCCGTGGTGCTGGCAGTGTGCCTGGTTGTGGAGAGTGTCCGATCCCTGGTTCCATGCCCCGGGTCCCTGAGTGGGTCCAGAGGTGCTGGCACAGTGTGCCTGGTTGTGGGAGGGGGGTCCAGTTCCCAGCTCCTTACCCCGGGTCCCTAGGCAGGCCCTGAGGCACTGGAGCAGTGTGCCTGGTTGTCGGAGGGGGGACCAGTCCCCTTCTCCATGCCCCAGGTGCCAGGGAAGGCTCCAAGGTGCTGGCACTGGGTGCCTAGTTGTAGGAGGGGGGTCTGGTCCCCAGCTCCATACCCTGAGTCCCTGTGTGGGCCCTGGGGCGCTGGCATGGGATGGCTGGTGGTGGGAGGAGGGTCTGGTCCCCTGCTCCATTCCCCGGGTTCCAGGGCAGGCCGCAAGGTGCTGGCACAGGGTGCCTGGTTGTGGGAGGGTGGTCCAGTCCCTGGCTCCATACCCTGGATCCCCAGGTGGGCCCCTAGACACTGGCACGAGGTCCCTGGTTGTGGGAGGGGGGGGTCTGGTCCCCTTCTCCATGCTTCAGGTTCACAGCAGGCCCCAAGGTACTGGTGCAGTGTGCCTGGTGGTAGGAGGGGGATCCGGTTCCTTTCTCCAAGCCCTGAGTCCCAGGGCAGGCCCTGAGGCACTGGCGTGGTTTGTCTGGTTGTGGGAGGGGGGTCTGATCCCATTCTCCATACCCCAGGTCCCCAAGTAGGCCCTGAGGCACTGGTGTAGTGTGCCTGGTTGTGGGAGGCAGGTTTGGTCTCCTTCTCCATGCCCTGGGTCCCAGCGTGGGCCCTGAGGCACTGGTGTGGTGAGCCTGGTTGTGGGAAGGGGTCTGGTCCCATTCCTCATGCCTTGGGTCCCTGAGGCACTGTTATGGCATGCCTGGTTGTGGGAGGGGGGTCTGGTCCCTGGTTGCTAGTTCTGGGTCCCTGGGCAGGCCTCTGGGCATTGGTGGTATGCCTGTATGTGGGAGTGGGGTCCAGTCTTTGGTACCAATCCTCAGGGTCCTGTGTGGGGCCCTGAGGTGCTGGCAGTGTGCGTGGTTGTGGGTGGGGGTCCTGCCCCTGGCTCCATGCCTCATGTCCCCTCATGGGCCCCAAGGCATTCATGGTGTGCTTGGACCGGAACTAAGTTTTTGTCCTTTGCTTGCTTCTAACCTGGGGGAACTTCCTGTGGGAACCAGTACTTGAGCTGTGTGGTTGAGTTAAATTGCTGCTTTGCTGCTGTTTCCCTAGGGAAGACTTTTTGTGCAGCTCAGGGTTTAATGGTTTACTTTTAGGTACGTCCGGCTCTCCAGATACTCAGTGCACCTGGGTTGTGTAGAAACTCTGATCTGGTCCTGAGTTTTTTCATCAAACTGCACCCCATGCAATTCTGCATTCCTGACCAGTCTCCTCTGATTGGTCCTGCACTGACTGGGGGGTGGATCGGCTGTCCTTGCTGTGTCCCAGTGTTCTCCTGGTGGGCCTGTCTTCCCAACTGCCTGTGCTCCAAACACTTCCCATGGGATGGGCTGTGTGCTGGCCCCTTGTGATGACTCAACGGCCTCTAAGTGGCTCCCTTTTTTCAGCTGTTCTGGCTCCTTGCTCCTGCGTGGGTCCACGGGAACCCTGTTAGTGGTCTTGCAGTCCTGGGGGCCACCAAAGTCCTCTTCTCCCTGCTGCCGCCAAGTGATTCCATCTAAAGGGCACAGCTGTGGCTTCTGCCGGCTCCTGCTCCACGTGCTCCAGCATTAAAGCAGCTGCGGCCCGAAACACTGAGAGCAGTTTTTTCTTTCTCTCTTCGTGGTTTCTCCCGCCTTCATGAATTCTATAGGTCTCTCCTCCTCTTCCCCTGAGCTCCAGTGGCCCCAACCGTGGCTGATGTTACATTTTTATAGTTGTAAATTCGTTGATTTGTGGGAGAGAGTGATGCTGGGGACCGTCTATTCCACCATCTTGACTGGAAGACCTTCAAATGATTTTAAAAACAATATGTACTGAAGATTTTTCTCTTCTTTTTAATGAAAATGGGGAAATGCTAAGGATAAACTTTTTGACCTCTGAATTGTTACTATCACTTGTAACTCCCAAAAGCAAAAATAAATATACCATCTCACTAAGCATATAGCTAGACATATTACAGAGATTGGTTCCTTTCTAGGATAAAACAGTCTTCAATAAAATGGTCTCTACGTTCAAAATTGTATAGACATTTAGATACTAATAGTTTACTAACAGCTCAAAACAGTTAACTGTGGACTTTATTTTAAAAGTTATAGAATGAGTTTGTAACTTACCGAATAACCTTTTAATTTCAGCATCTGGAACATAAAATGGTGGGCCTAAGTAAAAGAGAAATGTGAAAAATAATTTCTATAGATCTTCTAATTCTAAGGAGAAATAAACTCTCAGGGCCTACTTCTCAGCTTATTTCCAATGACCTAGGCGCACTTATTCTATATGCAACTTAATTATCCAAATAGGTGAAGATGTGGCATGTTCTTATAATTGTTCATCTGCAAATCTCATACCAAAGAAGTAAACTGGCTTCCTGAGAAGATGGCAATGTTACCTGCCTATCTCCAGCTTAGAAGAGATGGCCAAGCCAGCCACGGGATTTCAGAACGGTGAAATCAGAGTGGGGTCCATTAGCAAATTCCTCTTGGGTATCCTTCATCTTCTGGGGTATTGATTTTCTACTGTTGATTGACTCCTGCACTCACCCACATTCTGTATGCTCCTCCCACTCTGCTGCGGTACACTGACTTTATAAGGAACCTTAGGCTCTGCCCCTTCTGAGAGCAGAAGTGTTCTAGACCTCACCACCACAGAGCTTGCTGTGTTTTTTCCCACAGGGGGGAAAAAAAAAAGCCTTCCTTAGGCCTCCTGTTCATGAATGGAATTTAAATCAGATTAGCAGAGCTAACTTCTGCCTCTGTTAATTTCTATTTCCAACTGATTGTCTTAGACTTAATTAGGGTCACTAGGTCTCATCTTTTAATGTTTTTAAGACCTGATTTATTCAAATAGAAAGAAAATACTAGCATATGTAAATATTTATAAAACAAGGCATTTTTTAAAAAGCTCAATTAAAAATCAGAAAGGGGATTCTTAAATTGAAAAATCAATGTATTTGGTTTTTACTTCTTGAAAATAAAATCTAGCCATGACAAAGGTTAAGTTTCAATCAATGTTCAAATGCATCGAGTCCAGAAGAAAACATCCCTTTTACAAATTCAAAACAGAGTGATGAAAGGCTGGTTGGTTGAGCACAGTTGGTTAGAACACAGTGTTGTAACACCAAGGTCGAGGGTTCAGAGCCCCATACTGGCCAGCTGCCACACCCCTCCAAAAAATAATGCAATAGATAAATTATAAAATTTCAGAAATTAAAACAAAGCAATAGGTTAGGGATCTTCCTGCACAGCTCCTACCTCCCCATGTTCCACCTCTCCTCCCATCCCCCTACGAGGGTATATTTGGGTGCGTACGCACAGCATCTGTCCAGCACATCTACCACCATGGATGAAATGGATCTACAATATCCAGAGCAAGGTAATCAAATTTCTCCTTCTTCCTAATCAAGGGCTCTGAGATGTCCCTTTGATGTCAGGATCCTCTATTTCCCCCCTCTTCTATAGTTTGAGCTATGAGTGCTGAATAAAATGGGAAAAAAATATAAGAAAAACTCGTACAGTGTGGGAAGAGAAAAAAATGTTTACACTTCCCATTAGTGAAAAATAAGACTTATCTTCATGTATACAACACATGCATACAAGCAGTATGCTTCCTATGAGATAAATCAGAAGAAAATAATCCTTATCTATGTCCTAGAATTAAATCAGGAAAGTAGGCCACTAGAAAAAGAATACAAAACCTTACCTGCACATTTAGTGGGGTCATAAGAAACAACAGACAAGAGATAGTGAAACCCTTTTCTCAGCAGGGACAACACTGTATCTGCATAGCTGAAAAGAACACAAGAAGGTATACATTACATTTCTCTACACGGGTGAAGGCTGGAGGGGACAAGAGGCAGGGCAGGAAGCCAGCATTTACTTTCATCAACATTACAACCAGGGCTGGCTGGTCAGAGCATGACCCTGTAACACCAAAGTCAAGGGTTCGGTTCCCATTTTGGCCAACCGCCAAAAAAAAAAAATTGAAAAAAAAAAAAGACATTACGACAACCACATGAAGTTGATTCTCATTTTTTCTTTTTCCTTTTGGCTAGTCAAGTGAAGCAGTGGGAGTAGACAAGGAACGAAGAAATCTGTACCTGGTTGTGATCAATTCACCACCTCTGGACCAGCCTGATCCTCATTTTAAAAGTGAGAATGTGTTCAGCCAGTTATACGTGCTGCCTAAGCTGGGACATGGTAAAAATGGGAATCAAATTGAGTTCTGCTTTCAGAGCTGGTCAGACCAGAAGGCATCATGTAAGGGCAGCAGAAACTCCTTCCAGCCTGATGTGGTACTCGGGGCCTGCTGACCTTGGACACGAACTTCCTGAAGGACAGCATGCTTCTGCGTGCTCAGGGCATTGGCTCCCAGACCAGGCTGGCTATAAAAATCACCTGGGTACTTGCTGGAGGAAAAGATGCTTGAGCTCCATCCCCACAGACTGATTTAGTAGGTTTGCTGTGGGGCCTGGGATGCTGCAGTTTAACAAATATCCTGAGTGACTGTGACTTCTCCAATGGCACATAGAAGAGAGTTAAACCACAATCCCTTCCCTCTATTTAGCTGGAGAAAGACAAGACTACCAAGCAGGCAAAAAGTCAAGGTAGTATGAAATTAAAGTTCTAGAAGTGCGGCATAAACCATGAGTGCTGTTGGAACTGTCCCTTCGCAGTAAGTGCCTCAGGGAGCAGGTGACACTCCTTCCCAGCCATGTCTGACTGGCATGCCCTAATGGGACCCAGGGCCGGGCCTGGTAAGGAGTGATGAGGTAGACTAATCAGATGACTCCACTGGGAAACTGAGTTAAGAAACCCAAAGAGTGGCTGCCAGTTTGCTGCGGTCATTGTACTGAAGGTTGGGGGCTTCTGTGCTGAGTGGTGGCTGGAGTTGAGGCAGCTGAGGCTTGTGAGCAAGTCAGATATTTGAGAATAGAAATGGAGGAAGCAGAAGAAGCTGAGTGGTCAAGGTAGGAGGGCAGAGGGGACACATGCAGAGAGATGGAGAGGCGGTGAGGGACAGGCAGAGACGGACAAGCTTCCCTGCTCAGAGGGAGGGGTCCTGGCTCTTGGCGCTCCAGTTTCCACAGAGCCTGGCTGTACTGTGATCCGAGTCCAGAGTTCTCTGAGAAATCAGGGAGGCTGTACGGTGTGAGCATTAGGAGTGTGGACTCCGAGATGCCTGAGCTCAAACCCCAGCTCCTCTGCTTACTGGCCATGTAAGCTTGACAAATTCATAACTTCTGCGTGCCTCACATTCCTCACCTGTAAAATGGGGCTAAGACTAGTAACTATCTCACAAGTTGCAGTGAGAATTCAATGAGCTAACACATATAAAGTGCTTACAACATTGCCTGGTACATACATGGTAATCGCTCAGGGTTAGCTACCATTATTCCCTTCTGCATCCTTGACAGAAGCTCCCCTAAGAGCTGGCTCCAGTGGATCGTTCTTCCTTGCAAACTTCTGAGCAGAAACCTTTCCTTCTTAACTTTCTGATTCTTGTTTTTAAGAAGAGGCAAGAAGAAACCTGCTGTCCCCATGAAGATGGTCAGTCAGACTAGTTTGTCAGCATTTCCTAGGACTGACAAACTTCACTCCTCTTGGAATGTGAACTTTCTCTCTCAATCTCAAAACATTCAGAAAAATGAGAGAGGTGTGCCCCTCTGATTTCTGTTAGGCAAGAGGCTCAAGAGTCACAGCAGAAAACACATCAGTACTTGACAATGTGCAATCTAAGCAGAAAGACACCCAGTACTCGCAATAGTACTGAGATGAAATACTGATATAATAAGATCAGTGAGAACATATCTTTTTGTTGCTTCAAAGTAGTTATCCTGGTAACAAAGGCCAACATGTTCTCAGGTGTGCTTGGGGCTATGACACCACACACACACACACACACACACACACACACTGTGAATGAAACAGCTCAGAGTCTACTTGGATGGCCTTTATCTAAGGACAGATGAGGTGGTGTTGGTTGGTAGGAAACAGTGTATTTTCTTTGGTTTAAATCCAGTTTGCTTTCATTCATTCATTCAAGAACTACTTATTAAGCTCCTACTATGTGCTAAGTATATGCTATGCCAGATGTTGGGGAAATATCTATACACAATGTATGTGGTCTGCCTTTGGTCTGTGCTTGGGGACTTCCAGTTTGCTCTCCACTGCCTTGTGGACTTTACCATGTACACCAAAGTCCCCAGAGGGACTAACCTCATAGCAAAGATGAACAGCCTCAGGGAGTGGGAAACACCGACAAATTTAAACATTTAGCAGAACTGAGTTTAGTATACAAATGTGGTGCTTTATGGAGACAAAGAAGTCTCAGGTGATACTTTGATAAAGGACACTGATTTCACATGGGAAATGCAAAGTAGACACTGGAAATGTGATGTGGATGTGTGGGAGAAAGAACAGAGCTGACAATATAAAAATCATAGGGACAAATATTATGTACAATTTGTTTAGTTATTTCCCCAACATCTGGTGCATATATGTGTATATATATTTAAAAATATATATACACACACATATTTAGAACATAATAGGAACTTAAAAAATACGACTATTTGTTGAATTACTGAATGAAAGTAACAAGAGAATTGATCATTAAAGGAATGAATATAAGATAGAAAAGCAAAAGGCTGAGGACTGTCAGTCCCTTAGGGAATGATGACTTTCAGGCATGTGAATCTCAACTCTGTCACCCACTGGCTGCCTAACTTTGGACACATAACTTAATCTCTTTGACCTTAGTTTCCTCATCTGTATAATGGAATAATGATAGCATATACCTTGCAGGATTGTTCTGTGAATTAAAAGTATTAATCCACATAAAGTATTTCAAACAATGCCGGGCACATGCCAAGCGTCCAGCAAGTGTTACCCAGGTACATCAGTGTAGATGGTGATGAGGGTGTTAGTAGAAATATTCCAGTTTTGTGGAGGAATGACTGAGGCTTTAAGAAGTTGGGTACTTTGACCAAGACAACACAGCTTGGAAGTGTCCGAGCCACACGTCTTGTACTCAGGTCCCTATAGCCAAATTCTATAATTTTTAGACAAAGCTGGTGTTGAATTTAAGTCTTTTAATTCTAAATACAATAGGCTATCTCAAGTTGTTAAAAGTCTAGCTAATTTCCTGGAACCCAGAAAAAGTACAGTATACCAAGTAAAGAAGGCTTAAAAAAAAAAAAAAAGAAAAAAGAAAAAATCAACATAATTTAAAAACCAAATTACTTACCATTTGCGGTCCCCTGGATTAATAGCAACTAATGCTCCTCTGTCCCAAATCCTGTCAAATTTGCCAATATTTGTTCTACCAGAAAGAAAGAGAAAAAAAAAATGCAACATTTTAGGTAAGAAAACTCAAATCTTTAACATGACAAACTGTTCCTCATGGTGCACATTAGTACTTCAATCATCAAGAAATTGGGATCTCATGTCTGCTTTTCCTCATGGAGTCTGCAGGGATATGTTGGCCTGGCTGTGGGGAACTGTCCATCTCCTAATAGATTTAGGAGCCTGTGGCAGCAGCCTCCTTATTCTGTTTTGACTTGGGAGCAAGAAGAGGGAACAAAAGACAGCGTGTGACAACTCTGCTCCTAGCTCCGGGCTCAGGTATCAGGGACTTTCAGGAGGTGAGATCCCGCCTCCCTCGCACCTTGCAATTCATTTCTTTTACAGGCCCAGGTGCAAGGTGGAAGATACTGTCTTATTCTTCTCTCCTTTCCCCTACCTGCCTAGGGTCATAATACTGTTTTCCGTAGTTTGGGAGCTATTCAAGGACAAACATATTACGTGTACAGACATCTAGGCTGTGATGAAAATAACTGCAGAACAGAGACCCATATCAGTGCTTTATGGATGCTACACAAGTGGATGCAAGTGATGAAAAGACCCCTACCCCCATGCCAGCACTGCCTTGCAAGCACTGAAGTTTTTTTTTTTTTTTGTCTTTTTTCCGTGTCCAGCAACGGATCGCAACCCTCAGTGTTGCCCCCGTACCGGACCGGGGACCGGCAACGGGATCGCAAGCCTCGGTGTTGCTCCCGCGCCTCGCTCAGCCAGTGAGCGGGAGCCGGTCTGTATGTGGGATCCGAACCCTCGGACGGGAGCGCCGCCGCGCTTCCCAAGTAGTGCGCCACCGGGCCGGCCCGAGCACTGAAGTTTTTTTTTTTTTTTTTTTGTCTTTTTTCCGTGTCCAGCAACGGATCGCAACCCTCAGTGTTGCCCCCGTACCGGACCGGGGACCGGCAACGGGATCGCAAGCCTCGGTGTTGCTCCCGCGCCTCGCTCAGCCAGTGAGCGGGAGCCGGTCTGTATGTGGGATCCGAACCCTCGGACGGGAGCGCCGCCGCGCTTCCCAAGTAGTGCGCCACCGGGCCGGCCCGAGCACTGAAGTTTTTAAAAGTGCAGATGCAGTATTCACTCCTACCTGGGAAGATCAAAAATGCTGCAACAGTACAATGAAATATTCCCCGAATGACTCTGTAATGACACAATGAAAAAAAATTTTTTTTCCACTTAATTAGGAGATACTTGAATGGTTAAGGCAAGAAAGGAGGGCCCAAGCAAACCAAAAGTGATAGAAAGAGAATGCTTATTAGAAATAATTAAAGTAAACAATTTTATGGCACTTTAATGGCACCTAATTTTTTTCTTCTAAAACCTGTGTGGGGTTCTTTTTGGCCAATTCGAAGATGAAAATCACAGGGTAACTCTGAAGATCAGTTAGATACACTTTGTTTCAGAGCTTGTTAAAATTCTAGCATTGTTTACTTGAGCAGAGTACTGATATTCTGACGCTGCTAAAGATAAATCCACAGGTCAATCAATTACCCAGCAGGCTGATATGCAATGGTCAGATATTTTCAATTATTCAGGAAAAGAGCAGTTGTACCGACTCCCTGCTTTTTGCTCAATCATTCAGCTGATGAGCATTTATTTACTGAGCACCTAGTGGATAGAACTACCCTGAGTTCTAGACAGTGGGTGTGCATTTGAAACAGTCTCCGATCGCACTGAGGACAGCCTGAAGCAGAGAGGCATGGGCACAGAGAAATATTACAACATGGAATGGCCCGTACTGTGATGGCTGTGTGCCCAAGAACTATTGCAACACACAAGACAGAGCAGGGGACTGTCTGGGAGCCTTGGGAAAAGCTGAACAAGAAATAGCTTCTGAAAGGGTCCCTCGGTGTACCTGCTGACATTACAGGGGGTGGACTGGGGGTATACACTAGGGGGAGTAACATGACACAATCTGAGAAGTCTGGGAGCTGGGGGTAGGGATGAAGGGCAGAGTAGGATAGCTGCATCAGGACAGGCTGAATTTTATTCTGAGATGTGGCGTATACACAGGTTTACAAGTAGAAAAGGGAGGGTCTGTGAAGACCAGCCCAGAAGCCCTGTGGGGGTCAGCCCAGAGATAAGTGGGCTTGCAGGCAGGGAGAACAGCCAGCAGATCTCAAATCTGGCTGCAGACTGAAATTGCTGGGCAGCTTTAAGTGGCACTGATGCTGGGCCTCACCTCTAGAAGATTCTGATTTAATGGCCTGAGGTAAGACCTTAGCATCGGGAATTTTTTAAAGATCCACAGATGATTTCAAATGTGCAGCCAGGGCTGGGAACCATCGTTCCAGAGGAGTGTGGAAAGCAGGACTAGCCTCTTTGGACTCAGTAAACTCCTGGAATTCTTAGATGATTTGAGAACGGGGTAGGAGGAAGCTGTAAAATAAAGTACTATCAAACCTCCTACTGATCTGAGCAATTAATTTCAGTATTTAGAAAAGAGTACTTTGTGAGAGACTACATGTACATATGGACGATGCACAGACCATATATGACAAAAGAACTCTGACCCACAACCTCTGCAGCAACCAGCCTGGAGAGCCAAACCACAACCTCTGCAGAGACTTGGTCAGTGACCACCAGCTTCCCAAATTTTTACCACTACCCCCTTCTAACTCAGGGCCAGCCAGAGAAAGCCAAATATGCTCCCTAAACCAACCACATGAAAGCCCCGCTTCCAACTGCCCCCCTTGGGATCCCCCACACCTGTAGCCTTCGCCGTTTTCCACTATGCAGCTCCCCACACCTCTGCCTGCCTTTGAGTCTCTGCCAAACCCAGGTGGCTGACTCCCTCTGAACAAACAGCCTCTGCTTGTTCTCATTTGTGTGGTATTTATTTTTTGGTACATTGGTGGTGAAGCAGTTCCACTGTATGCTTCTGGTCATAAATTGAAGGCAACTCAGAAATTTATCATTTCCAGCCCAAACACCACCCTGTGCTTCAGAGACATAAAACCCTTGCCATTCCAAGGTCCCTTAAGCTCATCACCTCTAAAACAAAACTCACTTTCTCTGCTCTTCGACTTGCTTCTCCTTTATTCCCCACCATCCGACCAGTCACCTGAGCTGGACGTGTGAACTCGTCACACCCTTGGTCCTCACTCAGTCAGTCATGTAATCCTGCTGGTCTGACATCACACATTGCCTTAGTTCACATTATGTGCTCTATATGCCTGTCACGCTCTTTGCTCTGCCCTTCATGATCTCTCTCCTGGGCCACTGTCCACAATCTCCTGTCTGGTCTCTCTCCTTCAAACTACCTCCCATGAGGCCCTAAGGGTGATTTATCTCAAAAGGAAATCTGGTTGTGCCTGCTCCTATATAACACCCTACTGTGCAGGATGAAGTCCTAGCTTCCCGGGGCATCTGACACCATGGACCTACACCCTGTTCTTTGTCCCCATGCTGCAGGAAGCACCCTCAGGCTGGGCTCGGTGACTCTCCTGTCTGTTCTCGTAATACCCTATGCCGTTACACTTCACTCCATGTACTACAGATAACTTTGTCCCTGTTTCTCTTCTCTCCCAGGCTAAGTGCTTCCTTAGGGTAGGGACTGTGTTATCTTTATCTCTCCAGTGTCTTACATAGGGACTGGCACAAAATAGGTTCTTAGAAAATGCCTGTTAATAAAAACAAAACAAAACTAAAAACTAAAAACAGGAGAACAAAGAGGGTTTGACCTCAGCTTTTACATACAGTATATGTAGATCTATATCTATCTATTTAGCTAGCTATCATCCATCCTCTATATTTTAAAGCCCTAGCTCCTTACATTATCTAATGTCCAGGTAAATCTGTGATAGAGAGCAGCCATCTGACATTTGTATAGTGTCTTCATTCACATATGCGGAGGAAAACCTTTTCTGTGGGGGTGTGGAAACAATTATTTACCAAAACCAAAACGAACCTTAAATACTTTGGCACCAGGAATTCCAGTGATTGGTTCTTCTGAGTAAGAAAGATTCTGCTCCATGAAAAATTCCCGTATCCCAAGTTCACTGATTTCCACACCAACTACACTGTGTCCTAGGTCTGCAAACCTGCATAAAATTATATTTTTACACTTAAATTTTTATTTTAAATTCAGTACTAAATAAAGGTGTATACCCCAATAAACACATATTTTCCTTAATTTTAAGGGATTTGTATGAATCCACGTTCATGGGGTTTCATAGAATATGTAGGAAAGTGGATCTATATATTCTTAAAACGTTTTTTATATGGAATTTGGAAATATTGATTTATATGACCTTAGGAGAAAATTAAAAATTCAAAAAATTACATCTTAAAGAATTGATTTAGTACAAATGGACTTGACTAGAGGAAATGATTTTCAACTTCCCTAAATCAGTGCTGTCTATTACAATTTTCTGCAATAATGGAAATGCCTATATTTGTGCTGTCCAATATAGTAGCCATTAACCACATGAGCTATTGAGCTCTTGGGATGTGGCTAGTGTGACCAAGGAATTGAATTTTAAATTTTATTTAGTTTAAATTTAAATAGCCACATGTGGCTAGTAGCTACCATATTGAAGTGCAAAGCTCTAGAACATTAGCATCCATTTCAATAATAATCTGGTAATTTTAATTTATTTACAATAAAAACTATCTAAGATTTTATTTTATTACCATAGGAAAATAACTAATATTTTCCTGGTAAGCTTTATAATTAGAGAATTCAGTCTTGGGATGTTGGAATGGTACTAATGGCACAAATACCTAAGCATGATAATGATTTTATGTCAAATTAAATAAAAACATAGTTCTGCTATAGTATAACATATGCTTTCCTTAAAATCACTGCACTATGCAAAATCATGCAATAAAAATCACAAGGCTGTTGCAGAAAGTGGGGGCTAGGGTGTATTAAAAAACTTGGTCAGTGCCACATTAAAAAGAAAAAAGGTGGGAAAAAAAGGAGAGAAAAACCAGGAACCTAATAACAGTTTTACACATGCGAAATGGTTAAGAAATAGATAAGTATTACAAAATGGTTCTTTACTCTGAAGAAGACCTAAAGTTCCAACACTCAGTAAACTGGGTGTTGAAAGGGCTGCATTTGTAAGTTACTGTGAAATGGTAGAAGGAAGGTTACTGAAAATCAAACGGAAAGCTATAACACCAGCTGTGGGTGCGAGAGGCTCATAGCACCTGGAATAAACTGAGGTAGTAGGGACAGGTTTGAAGTATGTGTACGTGTGCATTTTGTCTTTTCATACACAGTTTATTTCAGCTGGGCATAGTTTTCTGCTTTCACCTAAGGTTTCTTGCAGACAAAATCACACATAAGCCAATGCAAAATTCACTTCATGCTCAGATTGTTCCATAATATATCAGTTAAGTGAGAACAAAATTCACATTTTCAAAACAAGAGGTAAAGCAGGACTGATTGTACCTATTATCTACACAAGAGTACACACTTGCAATGTGGGCAGAGCATGAACGTCTATGGTTCTAAAATGAAACATATTAATAACTTGTCTTTCATATTTCTTAGGAAATTTGTAAGCTAACATAAAGGCAGTATTTTTTTATTCTCTACACAGTTTTTGAAATTATGAAATGTAAACAAAAAGTTATTAAAATTGGCTGCATTTATTTTTATTTCCCATTCGACACAGGGAAAAATGAACCATAGCCTGCTATAGACTGGCAATAAAAACAAACATTTCATTTTAACGCTATTTGAGATTAGCTCATGGTCAGTTTATCTATTCAAACCTGATGTCTGCATAGACCTCAATATAAAGATTAGTTACAACATAGACTTCAATATAAAGATTAGTTACAAAAATGAAAAATCTTCTAATATAATAACATGCAATTACATACCTCAGTTCTGATATTTTTATTATGAATGATTTTAGATCCAAAATGCTCAACAATCACATTTAACTGGCTATTTCATCCTATTGTTTTCCTAATGTTGCCTCAAAACCTTTCCTAGAGCTATATTTATGACAGCACTGTAAGACAATCCACTTACAGAATTAATATTTCTCTTATAGGTAGTTTCCAAAATAACTCTCTCTTCTGGTTTAATGAGTTGGGTAAGATAGAGGTTTGATAGTACAGTTTAAAACTTCTCAATTTCATGGTCACATTTGAATCTTAAACCAAAGCAGTGATTTAACAAACACTCTCAACTACAAGTTCACAGAGTGTGGGCTGGTTGCAAAATTTCCACCACCTCTGCTTGAGAATCAACTCCATATGTATGCTCTGTGGGTCAATCATCAATATTTACATAGGGAACAGAGCATTTTTAAGTCACTATATTTCACATATAATAACCTTTTTCACGCATCCTTTTTACTTTTCTGCTTAATGATCAAAGTTCTCAACATTCAAACTTACAAATAAATTCATGTCTTGCCAGTTATGATTGAGTCTGTACATTATCATTACAACAGAGCTCTGTATAGAGAATGATTTTGAGATGTGTGACTTTAGGCTAACCAAAATAACAGTGGCTTGTTAATTAATGTGAATTCTCTTCACAAAGAATTACTCACAAGGGATACCTTCTTTATCACTGGTTTTATAACCGTAGGGGGAGGGGATAGTTGAGCTGAACTGTGGACTGTAAACACTGTCTTGTAAAATGTTGTAATTCATTTTGGATTTTTCTGTCCGCCCTCATTTCAAAGATTTAAAATTAACTTAGCTAAATTCTTCAGCCACCTACAAAAACTAAACCATGTGCAAAGATCCAGAAGATGTAAGAGGGAAGGCTGATTTTTCTCCCCCATTGGTTCCAAATGAATTTTTTCTTTAAAACTAAATACGGAAAGACTATGTCACATCTATTTCTTTGAGAATATTATCTCCAATTGTGTACCCATCACTAATAGTCTACTAAAAGTAAAGAATCCCTGTGCATTTCCTGAGAATGGAATTTTTAAACCTATATCCTATTAAATATTCACCCGAAGAATTCCTCATGGAGATGAGACTGTGTTAGTGCTTATGTACTCGTACCATTTCATCTCGACTGCTTTTCCGCAAAGAGGAAAAAATACCCTCAGTCCACTCTCGCCTTTAAGAAAAGTATCCAAATGCTTCTTTAATAGCCTGGGGAGAAAAAAAAAAGTGGTTTTTTTGTTTTTGTTTTTTAATTAGCCCAATGCACAGAGGAAAGGAGTATAACTGTATGATACTAAGTACTTTTCATTTATTATCTCACTGAATACTCCCAACTACCTTAGCAAGTAGGTAATATTACAATCTCTTGCTCAGTCACACAGCGGTTAGTAATAAATCTAACCTACACCTGGGGCATTCCTGATTAGTAATTAAAAATGAAAAATTATTTTTTCCTTGATATGTTTTGTAAATTTGTTATTAATTCTCCAAATATATACTTTTTTTTTTTTTTTTTGGTGAGGGGGGAAGGGAGCCTCTGGACCCACGAATTTATAATATTTGTTTTATGGCAAATTTTTGAAACATGTACTTGGGTCTCAGAAGTAGTTCTGAAAAATGTAACTCTTGTAATTAATTCCTTCTCTAGAGATGTGGCTCTCTCAGGCCATCCGCATGACATAGGTAACTCATACAGTGTTTTTAGGATGATGTCCCAACTGCTACTCAGTGTGCAAATGTGATGATGATAATAATGATGATGATGTCGTTTCCTGGGAAGATGCGGTGGCTGCCTAGAACAAGGAATGTCTATAATGACCACTTTACCCAGTAATGGCCCCATGATTTATTGCTGCTGCTTTGAAGACTACTACTACTAATACATTGCTCACCATCCTAGCTCACTTACTAATTTCTCTCAACTTCTCTTCTTCCACCATATAGGTAATGCTTTGACACCTGAACACATGCTACTGGAAAACAAAGTGAGAACACCACCACTTTTCAGTATAAAGAGATGTAAGCATAAGTGTTGCTTGAGCAGCTGCTGTATGAATAAACACTCATGACCAATACACAGATGCTGCAGGAGATTAAAAAAAGACATACATCATACATCTAAGATGCCCTCAATTGCAATTAACACCGTTATTTATACACTGTGGGAAGAGAAAACACTGCCAATTAAACTACGACATGCCATAGGTGCATTCTGATTTCAGAGATGTGAAAATATGAAAAAATAAAAACATGCATGTAAAAATCAGTCAAATAATGTGTATCTATATTACTATATCTATTTGAAAGTCAGGTTCTCAGAAGTCATTTCTCTGATATATATCAAACATTTCTTACGGATGTCCTTGCTCCTTATGAAATCCAATTTTGTGGTTCACCCACTTGTCTTGCCATTCTTCCAGAGTTAGTGCTTGGTTTTTCTGTACCTCAGTATCAGGGCACTCTTCAATATCAAGTAGAGTTCTTGTATCATTCATAGTTTTGTAGACCCCTTTGTCTCACAAGCAGATGTCTCCAATGCCTAAATGGAAAATATTTGCAATGTTGTTATTTAAGGGCATTATAATTCTATTGATGAATGTTTTAGTCCATTTTGTGTTGCTATAACAGAAATACCTGAGACTGGGTAATTTATAAAGAAAGTGGTTTATTTGGCTTACGATTCTGGGACAGCTGCATCTGGCATGGGCCTCAGGCTGCTTCTATTCATGGTGGAAAGTGGCAGGGAGCCAGCGGGTACAAGCAGATCACATGGCGAGAGGAAGCAAGAGAGAGAGAGAAGGTGCCAGGGTCTTTTTAAGCAACGAGCTCTCGCAGGAACTAATAGAGCGAGAACTCACTCATTAATCCCCCTCTCCCCCAGGGAGAGCATTAATCCATTCATGAGGGATCCTCCCCCATGACTCAATCAGTTTCCAACACTGCCACATTGGGGATCAAATTTCCACATGAGTTTTGGAGGTGACAACACATCCAAACTCCATCAATGAACTAAATGAAAACCAACGATCCTTAGCAGTATGATTTTGAAAAAATATTTCAACATCCAAATAAAAGCCATACAAAAAAATTACGTTTGAATTCGAGTCTGGTGGTAGAGGCGTACCTCTTATTATACTAGGCGTACCTCTTATTATACATTAGGAAAGATGTTTAAATAAATTAAATTATATTGTAACATTAAAGTAAAAAGGTAAAGTAATTAAGTTAAAAAACGGGAGGGGACAAAATTAAACAGCATTTCAGAGTTTATAACTTTTGTAAGCTTTGAATTTTTTTTAGCATCTTACACTCTAATTTTGAAAATTTATTTTAATATTTACTTCTTACTTCTATCAATGTTATAAAATGAGGGGACTTCAAAAAGTTCATGGAAAGATTCATATTATCTTTTTAATTCTATTTTTCCATTAACTTTTTGAAGTACCCTCGTAATACAGTTTAAAGAGTTCAACAGATTTGAATTCATTGAACTTATTTGAACTCAGAGCAGTGCTCATTGCCAATGAGAGGCAAACATCTTTAACTCTTTTAGCTGAGTCTAGAAATCCACCTCTATATCTCAAATTAGAATGCTTGTTTTGTATCTTCTTGATTTCTCATTTCCAGGTAGTATCTACAATTTAAGCATTTAGCTCTCTTTCAACTTTGCAACACACACACGACATCCTTCCAATATAGTCGTAGCATACTTTTGATTAAATATTTGGGGTGCAAATTATTATGACTAAGTAAATACTATTCGCAGCTAAGCCACATAGTATTCATGATTACTTTGCATTTTCTATACAACTTTTTAATTCTGTAGTTAATAACTGTCTTTCTTATTTATGGAATTTCTATGTACTTGTTAACTAAATCAACTCTAAGCTCTGCCCGTTGTCCCTATCTCCTCTCTATATACCCTCAATCTCTTTAATCATCAGATACCCAATTAGTATCATCTTTTTGGAGAAGGCTCTCTTGGAGACTTCTTACCTGGTTGCTCTCTACTGGTACACAACTAGCATTCTGGGATCTCTCTTGATCATCATCCTGGAGTTTTCTTTCTTGTCATTTGCTGAACCTCCTATTTCCTTTTTCCCATGGTGTTTTTTTTTTTCTTTGTTTACCACCCTTATATTGGTAAAGTCCAAATTCCAGCGGCTTCCTGAGAAAGGGGGTATGGGAGGCATTAATCTATTCATGATGGATCTACCCCCACTACTCAAACTCCCTCCCACTAGGCTCCCTGTAGTGGGGAGCAGCATCCCAAGGCAGGCGCAGGGCAGCTGCCACTGGCTGAATTTGTCCCCAAAGGCCTCTGGGCCTGTGATGGAAGGGGTGGCCTCGAAGATCTTTGAAATGCCTTAGGGGCTATTCTGCCACTGTCTTGGCTGTTAGCACCTTGCTGCTTTATAGCCACACCAATGTCTTTAGCAACCACTCCCTCTACCGCACCCTTGGATTATTCTCCAGAAAATGCTTTCATTCTCAACCACACAGCCAGGCTGTGGATCTTCCAAATCTTCAAGTTCCCTTTTAATTATAAATTCCATCTTTAGGTCATTCCTCTCTTCACTCATTTTACTATGGTCACTTAAAAGCAACACCTTCAATATTTTGCATAAAAATTTCTTCCACCAAATATTCCAGTTCATCCTCTTAAGTTTCACCTTCTGTAGCTCTTGGGCATGGACACAATGGAGCCGAGTACTGTGTAACAAAGGTGACCTCTGTCCCAATTTCTAGTAAGTTCCTCAGTTCCATCTGAGACCTCATTAAAATGGCCTGTACTCTTCCTATTTCTATCCACAGCCTGGTCACCACCACTTAACTAATCTCTAAGAGGTTCTGCCTTATCTTCAACACTCCCATGAGAATCGCCCTTAATGCTCTGTTCACTGCAATCATCTTTTTCTAGCCTGCTCCTCCAAACTCTTCCAACCTCTGCCCATTACCCAGTTCCAAAGCTGCCTCTACATTTTCAGGTGTCTGTGTAGTAACACCCCACTCCTCGGTACCCATTTTCTGTATTAGTATGTTTTTGTGTTCTTGTAACAGAATATCTGAGACTGGGTAATTTATAAAGAAAAGAAGTTTATTTGGCTCACAGTTCTGGGGCAGCTGCAACTGGTATGAGCCTCAGGCTGCTTCCACTCACAGCAGAAGCTGAAAAGCAGCTGGTGGGTGCAAAGAGATCACAGGGTGGCCAGAGAGGAAGCAAGAGAGAGGAAGGGGGGAGGAAAGACAGGGCCAGGCTCCTTTCAACAACCCTCTCACAGAAACCAATAGAGCAAGAACTCACTTACTCTCCACCCTCCAGGGCATTAATCTATCCTTAAGGGATGCAGCCCATGATCCAAACACCTTCTACTCTGCCCCATGTCTTAAAGGTTCTACCTCCCAACTTTGCCACATTTGGGAATCAGATTTCAACATGAGCTTTGGGGGAAACAAACATATCCAAACTATATTAGATTGCCTTAATTTTTATCTTTCTACTTTTCTGTTCAGTTTTTCTTTTCTGTTATCAAGTCTCTAATTTTCACGAGCTCCTTTTTGTTCTGTGATGTTCTCTTTTTATGTTATTCTGTACTTATTTCATGGATATGTTATTTTCTCTCATTTATCTGCATAGCCTGTTACTTACAAGCTGCTTTTTCTGTTGGTTTGTTTTGGCCTCTATCTTTCAAATTAGAGACTTTCCTCAACTACCTAGCAATTCCTATCAATTGCTCATATTTAAGAGTAGGTATCAAAAAGCTGATTAGAAGTTTAAGAATGTGGGTGAGGGTCATTGTAAGTGTCACTGTAGGATGATATGAATGGATTTCATTTGGAAACCCAGATGTCACTAGCTTTATTTTCTTTGGGCTGATCAGACATTCCATAGACAGTTCTTCCAATTTCTGTTATAAGGATTAAGTCTTTGGGGCCACTGTTCTATACCAACATAAGAAAAGGACAGAAGTGTGTGGGCGTGTGTGTGTGGTGCCTGTGTTCAATTACTCTCCATATTTTCAGTATGTTACTTCTGTCCATACTGTGTATTGTATCTTCCCAATCTAGATAATCTTTGTTTTACCTTCTCTGGGGAATAAACCCCCAAAAGTCTGCTGGTGTAACAAGGGGCAGACACCAGGTTGCAAAAACGTTGAGAAAGGGAATCTGTGGATTTAGCTTTTTCTGAACCAGAATTTCAAGCAATCCTCCTTGTTTCAACCACACCCATGCATTTTGGGAAGGTACCTGTTGCTGCTAATCCCGAGCATTTGAGGATTCTGTAATAGGATTGCTCAATGGCTTTCCTCATTGCTGGTTTAGAATTCAGCTTTCTTGAATCAGCAAAATCCTTTCCCACTTCCTCTATCTGCCTTCTATATACCGAAATTGTATTGCTTTTGTCTCCTCTCCTGTCCTCTGTATCCTAGTGGTCTATGGCTTTTTAAAAAGTCCTGTTATTGTTTTGGGGGAGTTTCAGGTCAGAGCAAAAGTAGGTGCATTGGTCAATATTATATCTTTATTCCATAAATTTGTATTTTCAGATAATTTTCTTATAGTTTTTTTTTTTTTTTGCATGGGAAAATGCATACAAAGGGAATTGAGAAAAAAGGACATGCAAACATAACTTCTGATCCATCTGAATGTATGAGGAAAATGCCTGTCCTTTCAATGTCAACTTTGCAATATTAAGGACAAAATAACATCCTAATTCTAACATTCCCTTTAATCATTAGTGAAACTGGTTTAGTTTGGTATGTTATTATTCGCGGGTCTAATTTAATGATTTATCCATGAAATGGCAAACATCCTGTCAAAGTGGGTATTTCAGGAAAAATTCCCCTTTTGTTGCAAAATTTGGCCTCAGTGTGTTTAGGATTTAGGGAGAAAGCACAGGAACATAAATTCACTTCTCAGCAAACATTTGTTAACAAATGGCTTTTGCAAGGCCCTGATGATGTCAAGAAGTGACTTTCAGAGTTATCTGAGAGGTCAGGGAAAATATCTGATTATAGTGGGTACAGAAAAGCAAAAGAGTTACAGTTTTACTATCTCCGTTTTTAGCCAGAAACTCTGGAACATAAACTAGAGGCTTCATAAAGCAGTTCTCTACTTAAAATAAAAGAGAAGCATAATCTTTACCATAGAGCCACGGCAACCTAAAATTGCATAACTCTCTTCCCTTCACATAAACTTAAACTATAACAATACCATGAATATAATTTAATCACTTAGCTGTTCTAATAACTTCTCAACGTGTACTCCACTTGTCCACCTCATTTCTGGAGAAATCCAGAGTTTCTTTTAATAACACAATAAAAGTGCACATTGCAAGCATCAGGAAAGGCAAATTTCACAAATAATTCCTACTTATATAGAGAAATTGCCGATGAAGTCCTCAGGTTGTTCTGGTCTCCTTCCCCTTTTGGAAAAAAATGTTCCTGCTTTAGTTTTCTTCCCAAATTTCGTTAAATTGAAGAGTAACTTCCCTAAGCTGCACAAATCTTAAGAGTATGGCACAGTGAATTTTTTACAAATGCACCACCACAGAGCAAGAGAGAGAATATTTACAGCACCCCCGTTACCCCGTCCCGAGAGCATCACTCACTATTCTGGCAGTACTTCACTTTCCTTAAAAATCACTAAGACACAACAATGCTTGGCGGTCTCTTTAAATCATGGACTCAGAAAGGTCATTCACTGCCTGACCTCGTTATTCCCATTCCCCTCTTCTGCCCCTTGAACCCCACTTCAGGGCTCGAATTCCTGGGCTGTCCACGCTTGCAGGACCCCCCACTCCGGAGAATCCTATCATAGCCTCACATACTCCTAGCATGGTTCCAAGTCTCCCCCGTACCCTCTCTGCGATCCAGGGAGCCTACCTCGCCTTCAGACGGGTGCCGGCCACTGCCACTGCGGT